ACCCCGCCCCGCCCCGGGGAGCCGCTGCCGCAGCTGCAGCCGCTCAGCGCTCCAGCCGGGAGAAGCCAAACCAGCGCCAGGGCCGAGGTGAGTGCGGGAAGCAACCGGGATCCCCACTCCCCTTCTAGAGCCTCCCTGGCTGGACGCCCCTTTGGCAGGACACCCTCGCTAGATCCCCCGGAGTGGGACCCTCTTCCGGGCTGGTCCCTCCTTTGCCCCAGTCTCCCGAGCTGGACCCCCCACTCCCACCTCCGAGTTACCCTGCCAGGTCTCGGCGTCCCCGGCGGGCCCTGAGGGCTCCCTGGTCTGGGGTACGCCGAGCGCACGGGGGCGCACTGGGCGCAGCGCAGGTGGGCAGTGCCACAGCCAGCCCCGACCAGCCGCCGCTCCTGCTGGGGACCCTGACTCTGGTCCCCGGGTAGCCCCTGGAGCGAAAATTCCCGGAGCCACTTCCGGGGAGGGAGGCACCACCTGTCCTGGGACGCGCCCCTTTCGCCCAACTTTCTTCTCCAGCCCCGCGGGGCACCCGCAGGTCAGCGTCGCTTCGGGCGCTGCTCGTGGCGGATCACAGGGCCGCGGGTCACTTCGCGGCGGGGGAGCCGGACCAGCCTGCTTGAGGCCCTTGTCCCGGCGGCTGCATCTTTTAAACCGAGCGGCCAGAAGATCCCGGGATAGGACGCCAGGGTGGCGGACGCCGAGGGGTTAAGGTCAACGTGGGTGCCAGAGACGGGTGAGCATTTTCTGAGGCTGGAAGCTGATCGAACCGGGTGGAAACGGGTTCCCCTGGGCTTTGCGGTGGTGAAGAGCTGCTCTCGCACTATCGGCGGACTCATCTTGTGCTTGAATGTCGCGGAAACAGAGCGCCTTGTTCCTAGAGGACTCGGCTTGCTGGATTTATTCCCTGGCCCAGGTTTGCTTCTCGCACTCGGCGAGAACGGGAGAACTGCCAGACGGTAGTTGTCCTTGAATGTACCGGTAGAAACTTATTTTTAAGCGTTTCGTGCACTACCAGGTACAACCACTCTCTTCCCTGGGGTGTGGAAGAGGAGAACTTCGCTGGGTCTTTGTCTTAGCTATGTAGTCCTCGGCAAGTTACTTCCTTTATCTATGCCTCAGTTTTCTCATCTATAAAATGGGGATGACAGTACAAACCTTAAATAGCTGTATAGGGATAAAGTGCTTGAAATACTGACGGAGACAGGGTAAATCCTCTGTGTTAGCTGCTCTTGTGATTATTATCACTGCCATCTGACAGCGCGTGCACAGCCTGAGCTTCTCAATGAGGTGGGTTTCCAGGCTGTTGCTCCTTCCCCTTCTAGTACGGAGCTGGTGGTGTTTCCACAGAAGACATGGTGTTCCCTTCCGCACTGGGAAATTTGAGCTTTGCTGTAATCCCTCCTATGGCTAACCAGCCTTGTGCAAAGTATATCTTAGAATGTGGGATTAGAGATGACCTTTGTCAAGGACATTGTTGGGAAATGGGGTCTTGTACCTTCTCTGGAAGCTCTAGGGTGTGATTGGGTGTTTGCCTCTTGCGGGGGAGGGACTGGTAGATTCCACTTGATTCTTTTAGACCTTGTGTCCCCTGACAGGCTGACACTGTCTAGTCTCTGTGAGTGTGGGAGTGTATTTAAGGGTCCAGGGACCTGATCTTGTCTCCTTCTCCCCCATTCATTCATCTCTAGCAGATTGCTCCTCCCATCTGTAGCTTCCCTGAGCTGCGCCCATTTGGTGTCTTTCTTCTTGGCAATTTAGTTTCTCTCTTCTGGAACTCCACAAATAAGAGTTCTAAACATGGAGCCCTAGGGAACCTCTTGAAATGTACACGAGGCTCTTGAAGCACAGTTGTTTATTTTTCCAGAGGTTTCCCCTTACATTGTATTCTCCATGAGTCCAGTGCCCCAGAAAAGTGAACTCTGAACTGCTGGTAGGGACGTGCAAGTTCTTGCTCCCAGTTACATCTCAAGTCCCTAAAAATTGGGGGCTGCCCTTTGGGCTCCCTCCCAGAACACACTTTTCAGTGGGCAACACAGGTCAGCCTTGACTTGATTAATTAGGGGAAAGAGAGGCAGGCTGTGAGGTTAGGGACGGTTGGCCTGTGGTGAGGCCTTTAGGCTGGGATGCAATTCATGAAAATTTGAGTTCAGGTTTTCAGAAGACTTCTCAAGACCTTTGCTCCTGCTGTTCCCTTTACCTAGCATGCTTTTCCATCACTTCTTCCATGTCAGGAATTTTCTTGCTCTTTTGCTCAGATGTCTTCCCTTTACAGATGGTTTTTCCAACCACTCTGTCCAAAGCAGCTCCTTCCCCCATTAGTTTCTGTCACACTCTTTCATTATATTTTATTCATAGAGCTTGCCTGAGATGATCTTATTAATGCATTGATTTCTGCACTGTATGCATCCACCCAGAAGAATGCAAAATTTAAGAGGGCAGAGGTGTGTTGTCCTGTTCATTACTGACTCCTGGCTCATGGCATATGGCAGGTGCCCAATAACTATCCTGAGTGAATGAACACCCATTGACTGAAGTGAGAAAAAAAGAAGAAAGAAAATTAAATATTGGACCCATTTTCTTAATGGTTTATAAAAATATTCTTTAATATCGTATCACTTCACTTGCACAGGTTGAAACTCAAGTGAAAATGAGATGTTTTGGAGGGGATTACAGGTGCTCACCACCACACATGGCTAATTTTGTATTTTTAGTAGAGATGGAGTTTTGCTGTGTTGGTCAGGCTGGTCTTGAACTCTTGACCTCAGGTGATCTACCTACCTTGGCCTCCCAAAATTCTGCAATTACAGGCATGAGCCACTGCACCTGGCCGAAAAAAAAATTTTTTTTGAGAGAGAGTCTCACTCTGTCATCCAGGCTGGGGTGCAATGGTGTGCAATGGTCTAGGCTCACTGCAACCTCAACCTCCACCTTGAATCACCAAGTTCAAGTGATTCTCCTGCCTTAGCCTCCCAGGTAGCGGGGATTACAGGCATCCGCCACCATGCCTGGATTATAGGCACCCACCACCACACCTGGCTAATTTTTGTATTTTTAGTAGAGATGGGTTTCACCATGTTGGCCAGGCTGGTCTCTATTGATCTCCTGACCTCATGATTCACCCACCTTGGCCTCCCAAAGTGCTGGGATTACAGATGTGAGCCACTGCGCCTGGGCTGAAAATGAGATTTTTAATATATGCATCTAATCTATTGAGTCAGTTCAAGTTTCTTCATGGAATAGTACCAGCATGGTAGGTGGAGTGGGGTCTGCTGTGGAGACGTTTTGTGACAAGCTTTGCTTTCTTCTTTACCTTGATGAAAATTGTTTATTCAGTTATAAAAATGGGTACACATTTCTTTTTCTTTTTTGAGTTAGGGTCTTGCTCTGTCGCCCAGGTGGCATGCAGTGGCGTGATCTTGGCTCACTGCAACATCCGCTTCTCAGGCTCAAGCGATTCTCCTACCTCAGCCTCCCGAGTAACTGGAACTATGGGCACGCAACACCATGCCTAACTAATTTTTGTATTTTTTATAGAGATGGGGGTCTCACCATGCTGCCCAGGCTGGTCTCGAATTCCTGGGCTCCAGTGATCACCTGCCTCGGCCTCTCATAGTGCTGGGATTACAGGCATGAGCCACCATGCCAGGCCCATTTTTATTTTCTTAGGGAAAAAAGACTGGCAAGACTGTTACTAATTGAGGTAATATCTACACGTGTCTTAGCCACTTAGCTCATTTATTTCATTTATTCCAAAACATATATGGAGAGAGGGCTACTCTGTGCCAGGCATTGCCCTGGTGCTGACCACACAGCAGTCAAGGAAACTGACAGCATTCCTTCCTTGTGGAGTTTCCATCCCAGTAGTGGAGATGGACAGTAACAACAGAGATCAGTAATAAGCTGTGAGGGGGAGTGGCCAGCGTAATGGAGATGAAGCTGGGGAAGGAGATCCAGAGTGATGGGATGGAGGCAGAGCTGGCTTCCATCCAAGGAGGTCTCTCTGACGAGGTAGCATTGGGGCAGAAACTCAGACGAATGAAGAAGCAGCCTCATTCCATGCATATGCAGCCCAAGGTTGTGGTCAAACTCCCCAGTGTGGCCAGTCACCTCTTGAGCACTGGACGTGTTCTATCTCACTGCAGAAGGGGAGGGAAATGAGGCAATGCAGGCAGAACTCTCCTCCTGTCACCCAGGTCCTGGCAGGTGGCTGGAGTAAGATCTTGGCATTGTGTGCTCTGATTGTCAACTAGAAGGCTGGTACCTACCTTACAGGGTGAGACCTGACCGATGATGTGTTCTGAAACTGCCACCTGGGAATGAACATGAGCCTAGGGGTCACTACTGGAGTTATAATCCTGCACATTCTAAGACTTGCTCCACTGTACCTTCCCTAGCGGTGGACTCCTTCCTCTTCTGTGTCATTTGATTACCTCACCTTATCACCTAGTGGCACTCACGTAAAGGGAAAGTAGTTACTTAGTGGGCTTTGACAGAAACAACGAGATGGGCCGGGCACGGTGGCTCACACCTGTAATCCCAGTACTTTGGGAGGTCAAGGTGAGTGGATCACCTGAGGTTGGGAGTTCGAGAACAGCCTGACCAACATAGAGAAACCCTGTCTCTACTAAAAATACAAAATTAGCTAGGTATTGGTGGGTGCTTGTAAATCCTAGCTACTCAGGAGGCTGAGGCAGAAGAATTGCTTGGAGTCAGAGGTTGTGGGGAGCCGAGATCCCACCATTGCACTCCAGCTTTGTCAACAAGAGCAAAACTGTCTTAAAAACAAAAAAGCCCAAAGAAATGAAAATGTATAGGATTGGCGATCAGGAGATGCATGCTTCCCACTCTTGCCATTGATTGATCGATTGCTTGATCAATTGATGTCATTTAATACAGTGTAAGGTTCCCGGGGGGCTAAGAGTATGAGATCTGGATTGTGTGACCTTGTGCAAGTAACTTAGCCGTTCTGAGTCTTGATTTCTTTATCTGTGATATTGGGGAAGTGGTGCAACAGGGAGGCTTCTTGGAAAAAGTGATGTCTAAGAAGATGCAGAAAGGAATGGCTACGAGTCACCCCCAGGGTGGAAGGGAGAACATAGCACACGCAAAGGCCCAGACAAACAGCTGCCAGACTTTCATAGGATTCTCATTGATTACAGCTGTGTTGGAGTATACTGTAGAGAGGGACCTGACAAAGCCCTCAATAAATGTCAGTTGGTTTGAATGGCTGCACCCTGTGCTGCCGGGCTCAGCACCTATATCCTCGTACAGCTTCCACAGCCATCCTGTGGCACAGGTCCTCTCATTATCCCCAACTTCCATATCAGGAAATTGAGGTGTGGAGTTATGAATAACTTGCTCACAACTGCCTTGCTGTATCAGGAGAGCTAGAGGTGAAGAAGGTCTTCCCAGATTTATTTGGGATGCAGCAATGTCAAGAGAGATGGCTGTTTGTAAATATCTCTGACAGGTCTCGCTTTGGTTGCACATCCCCATGAAATGTCAGTTCTAGGAGGGCAGAGGCTGCTCCTGGCAGAATACCTGGACCCTGGCATAATGCTGGTACACAGTGGGGTTTGTTGGGATGCTGGGTGGGTGACCCAAGGCCTCTGGGTAGCCATGGAACAAGTCTGGAAGAGCCTAGTGCTTTCATTTCCCAGATGTCTCCTGATTTTCCAAGGTGGACCTGCAAGTCAAGGCAGAACTGGACATGGGGCCCAAGTCAAAACCCGAATGCTCCAGAAAAGGAGGCAGGGGCACTTGGCTGGAGTCGATCCCTGAGGGACATGCAACGCTCTTGCAACCTGGCTGCTGAGTGCACTGTTCTGATTCATCTTCAGCCACACACCCCACCATCATCCTGGATGCTCTAACAGAGCCAGACCCCACAGTCACCCAGATACTGCAGAGCTTCACATCTTTGCTCCTGCTGTTCCCACTACGTGGGGTGCTCGTTCATGCGTGGCCACTTTCACAGCTTCCCACACTGCCCACCTCCAGTGGCTTTCTCCCTCTTTCCTTTCTTTTTGGCTAGAGACATAAAGAAGAAATCCTGATTATATTCTTATTGAACACAGATATAAACATATCGGAAGTTGTAGAGTAAAAAATAATTGCAGGTATAATATGCTGAGATTTAAAAAAAAAAAAAAAAAAAAAAAGAAAATATTTCCACCTTTCCCATCCCAGGCTTGCTTCCAGAGAGAATGCTTGTGATCGGCTGGGCACAGATTTCTCTTGCTTTTTGTTTACAGGCATGGGTACCTGTGAGTATCTTTAAAAACTAACAGTGGGCTTATTTTGTATGTATTGCTTACCAACTAATGTTTTTCTTTTTCTATTTATTTATTATTTAGAGATGGAGTCTCACTCTGTTGCCTAGGCTGGAGTGCAGTGGTGCAATCTCGGCTCACTGCAACTTCTGCCACCTGGGTTCAAGCAATTCTCCTGCCTAAGCCTCCTGAGTAGCTGGGATGACAGGCACTTGCCACCGTGCCGGGCTAATTTTCATATTTTTAGTAGAGATGGGGTTTCACCATGTTGACCAGACTGGTCTTGAACTCTTGACCTTATGATCCACCTGCCTTGGCCTCCCAAAGTGCTGGGATTATAGCCGTGAGCCACTGCATCTGGCCTCTTTTTATTTTTATTCTTTATTTTATTTTAATTTCATTTTTTGAGACAGAGTCTTACTCTGTTGCCCAGGGTGGATTTCAGTGGTGGCATCTTGGCTCAATGCAACCACTGCCTCCTGGGTTCAAGTGATTCTCGTGCCTCAGCCTCCCTAGTAGCTGGGACTACGGTTGTGTGCCACCACACCTGGCTGATTGTTTTGTACTTTTGGTAGAGACAGGGTTTTGCCATGTTTCCCTGGCTGGTCTTGAACTCCTGAGCTCGAGCAACCCTCCCGCCTCAGCCTCCTGAAGTGTTGGGATTACAGGCGTGAGCCTCTGCACCTGGCCTATCCATATATATTTTTTAATTCTTTATTTGGCCTGGACAGTGCTAACAAATAATGTTTTCCCATTTAGTTATGTCCAAGAGTGTTTTCCTTGTCCATATATATTTCTCCTCTCTTACCTACCCTGGCTCTCCCCTCCCCAGGGAAGAGTATAGAAACTTCTATGGATGTGTGGTTTTATTTCTCTTGAAAATATGCCTAGCAGTGGAATTGCTGGGTATATGGTAACTCTATATTTAACATTTTGAAGAACTGTCAAACTGTTTCCAAAATGGCTGCAGTGTTTTACAATCCCATCAGCAGTGCATGAGGGTTCCATTTTCTCCACACCCTCATCAACACTTGTTATTATCCATCTTTTGATTATTGCCATCCTAAATGGGTATGAAGTGACATCTCACTGTGACTTTGATTTGCATTTCTCTGATGGCTAATGATGTTGTCCATTCTTTCATGTGCCTATTGGCCATTTGTATATCTTCTTTGGAGAAATGTATATTTGGTGTTTTATCCTTTTGTAAATTGGGTTATATGTCTCTTTTTATTGAGTTGTAAGAGTTCTTTATATATTCTGAATTTTAGTCCCTTATCAGCTATGATTTTTAAATATTTTTTGCCCATTCTGTGAGTTGTCTTTTCACTTTTCTGATAGTGTTTTTTGAAGTACCAGGTTTTAATTTTGGTGAAGTTCAACTTATCTATTTTTCTTGGGTTGCCTGTGCTTTTGGTGTCATATCTAAGAAACCTTTGCCTAATGCAAGGTCATGAAGACTTACGCCTATATATGTATTTTTTTTTTTTTTTTTTAGATGGAGTTTCACTCTTTCACCCAGGCTGGAGTGCAGTGGTATGATCTCAGCTTACTGCAAACTCTGCCTTCTGGTTTCAAGTGATTCTCCTACCTCAGCCTCCCAAGTAGCTTGGATTACAGGTGCCTGCCACCATGCCCAGCAATTTTTGTATTTTTAGTAGAGACAGGCTTTCACCATGTTGGTTAGGCTGGTCTTGAACTCCTGACATCGTGATCCACCAACCTCAGCCTGCCAAACTGCTGGGATTACAGGCATGAGCCACTATGCCAGCTGCATGCCTATATATTCTTATAAGAGTTTTATAGTTTTAGCTCTTAGATTTAGAACTTTGATCCATTTTGAGTTGATGTTTGTATGTGGTGTGAGGGTAGGGGTCCAGCTTCATTTTTTTGCATATGGAAATCCTGTTGTCCCCGCACCATGTGTTGAAAAGACTCTTCTTCCCGATTAAATTGTCTTGACACTCTTGTCAAAAATCAATTTACTATAAACGTAAGCATTTATTTCTGTACTGTCTGTTTTAGTCCGTTCATCTATATGTCTATCCTTATACCAATATTGCTGTCTGTACTGTCTTGACTACTATAGCTTTGTAGTAAGTTTTGAAATTAGGAAGTACAAGTCCTTCAACTTTGTCCTTCTTTTTTTTTTTTTTTGAGACAGCTTCTTGCTCTGTCACCCAGGTGTGCAGTGGCACAATCACAGCTCACTGTAGCCTTGACCTCCTGGGCTCAAGAAATCCTCCCACCTCAGCCTCCCAAGTAGCTGAGGTGGGAGGATTGCTTGAGTACAGATGTATGTAACCACACCCAGCTAATTTTTAAATTAAATTTATTATTATTATTTTTTAGCCACGGGGTCTGGCTATGTTACCCAGGCTGTTCTCAAACCCCTGGGCTCAAGCAATCCTCCCACCTTGGCCTGCCAAAGTGCTGGGATTACAGGTGTGAGCCACTGTGCCCAGCCTGTCCTCCTTTTTCTAGATTATTTTGGCTATTCTGGATCTCCCTATGAATTTTGGGATCAGCTTGTTAGTTTCTGCAAAAAGGCAGCTGAGATTTTGATGGACTTTGTATTGACTCTGCAGATCACTTGGGGAGTTTTGCCATCTTAGCAATATTAAGTATGGAACCTGATTTCCTTTTTGCTGGGGCTATTGCTCAATCAGCTTCCCTATTCATTGGGTCTTCTGAGTAGGCATTCTGAGACCCATCCATCAAACTGCACAGACAAAAATCCAGGGATGTAAGCACCTCTATTCCTTGTGGAAGAAAGTAACACAGTATATTATTGTGTCTAATTTAAGGCTTGGATAAGACATTTAACTCCTGAATTTGTGAAATGGGAGTGCATCTGGCGCTGGTCACACATATGACAGATCAGGCTTTGCTTCGCGCTGAGGATGGGATAGAGATCTCTAAGATACTCCCATAACCCCTTGCTTCATGCCTTGAGAAATGTGGTGGGAATTGGGAGCCCCCACCGCCCTGGAGGCACCAGGTGGTGGTAGGAGAATTGGAGCCAGGCTCCATTTTAACTTGTTTTATCTGTTGGGTAAAGGGATAGGATTTCAGTTGGGGAAAGAGTTCTACTAAAATAATCTTTGCTCCTCCTCACCAATTCACTCACATCATAGTTTGAAGAATGGAATAAAAATAAAAAGGGAGTGGCCGGGCGCGGTGGCTCAAGCCTGTAATCCCAGTACTTTGGGAGGCCGAGGCGGGTGGATCACAAGGTCAAGAGATCGAGACCATCCTGGTCAACAAGGTGAAACCCCGTCTCTACTAAAAATACAAAAAATTAGCTGGGCATGGTGGCGCGTGCCTGTAATCCCAGCTACTCAGGAGGCTGAGGCAGGAGAATTGCCTGAACCCAGGAGACGGAGGTTACGGTGAGCCGAGATCGCGCCATTGCACTCCAGCCTGGGTAACAAGAGCGAAACTCCATCTCAAAAAAAAAAAATAAAATAAAAAATAAAAAAAAATAAAAAGGGAGTAATATCACATATTAGAACTTTAGTTTAGGCCAGGTGCAGTGGCTCACACCTGTAATCCCAGCACTTTGGGAGGCTGAGGTGGGAGCATTGCCTCAGACCAGGAGTTTGCAGCCTGGGCAGCAAAGCGAGATTCTATTTCTACAAAAAATTTAAAAATTAGGTGGGGCGCAGTGGCTGATGCCTGCAATCCCAGCATTTTGGGAGGCTGAGGCAGGCAGAACACAAGGTCAGGAGTTGGAGATCAGCCTGGCTAACATGGTGGAACCCTGTCTCTACTAAAAAAAATACAAAAATTAGCCAAGCATGGTGGAGTGTGCCTGTAATCCCAGCTACTCAGGAGGCTGAGGCAGGAGAATTGCTTGAACCTGGGAGGTGGAGATTGCAATGAGCTGAGATTGCACCATTGCACTCCAGCCTGGGCGATAGAGCAAGACTTCATCTCAAAAAAAGAAAAGAAAATTCGTTGACTGTGGTGGCACATGTCTGTAGTCCCACATACTTGGGAGGCTAAGGTGGGAGGATAGTTTGAGCCCAGTTGTTTGAGGCTGCAATGAGCTGTGATCACACTACTGCACTCCAGCCTGGCGACGGGGCAAGATCCTGTCTCAAGAGAAAAAAAAGCTTAGTTTACACCCCGACATGTACTTATGTGTTCCAGATGTAATGCTCTGGCACAGCACATACATGATTTTATTTTCGAGAAAAAATAAAAAATGAAGTGCCTATATTTGTATCACTTGGAATCTTGTTCTCGAAGCTTAAAGAACAACCTGGGAAACTACCCTTGAAACTTCAAATTCATTTCTACCTCAACTCAGCTGGGGTGAGGAGCTCCCATTTTAAACAAACAATACATACGTGTGTGTGTGTGTGTGTGTGTGTGTGTGTGTGTGTGTGTGTGTGTG